AAAGTAAGGAAACTGTGAATAAATAAATAAATTCGTTTTTTATTAAATTACACTTTTAATTTCAGTCCTGCATTTTGAGTTACATTTTTTCATTTAATCAAGTAACATGCGGTCTAATTTTTCAAGTCATTGGGTAATGAGGGGTCCAGAAGTAGATTTTTTACCAAATAATCATTTCAAGGTAAAATGTTATGTCATGTTATCTTTTGCATACTTGTAAGAAAGAGCCCAGATAATTTTATTTTATGACATTGTTACATTTTTATGGAAGTTTAGGAACCCTTCTTTAAATAATAATCATTCGTAAACAAGTAACAAGATCTGTCACTTTTGTTCAAAAACATAATATACATTATTTTCAAAATCATTTTTATGATCGAGATGTCATTTTTGAATCACAAAATTGCAACAAGGTTTCTTCCCTCCTGACTTTAAGTAAGCTGTTAGTATATCTCTTCCCTTTCTCATTACAGACACGTCCCTGAATCTAATCCAGACTCGTTTGGAGCCCACTCTTTGTCCTTATAGTTTTAATTAAAGCTCAGATTTGAGGACCTCAGTGGAGCTAAGTGAAACCTTGCATGACTGGGGCGATCCATCAGCTGTGTTACCTCCTCTGCTCTACGTGAAGCCGTGCTTAAGCCCATTTGACTGTCATTACTCTATGTCACACAACATGGCCCAGGCTCTCACCACAGGCTGTTGACCTCTTGAATGATTACCGCCTGATTGCCCTGCACACATCCGCCCGGCGCCAAACCTTTTGCTCCAAACCTTTTGCTCCAAACCTCAGCACAATTGGAAAACATTTTGATGCACTCAACAATTGCCCTAAGTTGTTTTTTCCCCCTTTGCTAATGAGAACGTTGCAGCCAGCAGCGACACACATACTCCTCTGTATCAATCACGACTTTGAAATCCTTCCCAGTCGCACGCCGGAAATCCTCAAAAAGCCCCGGTGATAGGCCGTATGCCACATGTGGGAGACAGCCCAGTGCAGGTCCCCGTTACATTCTGCAAACAGCTTGCAAAAGTCTGGGAAACTACAGCAGGTACGACAGGGCGCGCTGAGATCAAGGTCAAGGCTTAAACGTCTACGAAAAGTGACTTTTTCGCTGGACAAACGGATAAGTCTTTCTCTATCCAAGTGAAGTGAAGAGTCTGTGCCTATATAAGGAAGCAAGTGCAGCGTGTAAAGAAAATGGGAGTAAAGCGAATTATTGAGAGAGAAAAATTATGTATATATTGACATTGATACTCGTCATTGCACACGTCAATGGAAGGACATGCTCCAGTCAATCATGAGCAGCAATTACCCTGAGGTTATTAGTTCTAATTATTTTTTTTTAGAAGAAAACATTTAGAAATGAAAAGCTCTCAGAAAATCAAATAAGTCAGCGCACCGTGTCACTGCGGCATCACCCGACTATTGAATCTTCATTACTTTCATTTCCTGGCTGCTTTGGCTTGTACTAGACATATTTTTTATACAGAGAGACTTGCTGTTGGCTTGTGTATGTGTATATCTATGTTGTGTGTATACAATTCGGCTTTCAAATTATGTATTTATTTATACCTTTGAATCTTGTGGAATTCCAAACCCAGTCCCAACTCCATGATTTGACGCAGCGATGTGAGGAGACTTCACTTTGACACTTGTGCGTGACCATTTTTTATATGCCCATTTCAGTGGGTCAAGACAGATAAAGAATAAAAACAGCTTCTTTGCCTGACACTTTGCCTGCTCCCATGCATTGCACATATATCAAGGCTTTTGGATCCTGCTAAAAAAAACCTGCAACTGACTTTTTCATCCAAGACAGGCACAAAATTAACCACAATGTATACTTCTCCGTAAAGTCCTTTACACCGACACTGAGAACCCTGAACATAACCAGGGGCATGAAATATGTTTTTTGTCTTTCTCTCCATCAAGAGCAAACTGAGACAATAAGGGCTGCGTGTAGTCCTCTAAAACATCATTGATGGTTTGACAACTCTCTCCCCTATTTTTAATAAGTCTGCAAAGTGAAGTGGGCGGAGCATCCAAGTTCCAAAAGTAAAAATCCCAATTAATAATCCATGTGACGAAACATCCAAAGACACCTTACCTTAACCATCTTCAGAAGGCCACACATAAGGCTGCACAATATTGGAAATTAGAGCGATATTTGAAAAGAGTGTTTAGTATTGCGAAAACGATATTATTGCAATAGTTTTATCTTTCACCTAAAATTGCAATCTGCATTGAAACGCAAGAAACAAGACTTTCAAATGCATATATTTATATAAGTTTTTGTTTGTTTGTTTATTTGTTGAATGTTGATGTGTCTGTCTGTTTTGTTGTCTCTAATAAAGGAAAAAAAAAACCCAAAAACAATATATATATATTTTTTATTTATTGCACATATTTTCGATATGGATATCGCACCAATATCGCAAAAAAGGATATTTTGTCGATATATCGTGCAGCCATATAGATTATTCTTCCTCTTTATTATTCCTCTTTCACAGAGAAAAACAAGGTTACTGATCACTGACGTCATGGAGCGAGGTCAGTCTTTGGTAGCGCACTCTACTGATCAGAAATGGGTGAGAAAATACGGGTGAGAAATTGCGTATCACACACCATGACAAAGGCTACAGGGGTCTCCACGGTTACGCAATTGGATAATGTAATACAACTGCGTAATATATGTTGAAATCTATCCAAGCCTAATCATTTCCGCAAGAGGTACTATTTTTTAGTTTTGTAATCCTATATGCCACTGTGCAGACAAGCAAGTTTTTCTTTATTGTGCTCAGAGCTGCATATTAAAATTTAAATTGCTACTTTAAAAATTCATCCCAGAACACTATTTGTCTATTTAAAAGCCTCTCATACATTTTATATTGACAATGTTCTGCAAATCGCAAAAGATTTCTGACTTGCTTGCGCTGAAATCACGATGTTTTGCTGTCACTTCTGAGATGGCGCTGGATGGGATTGGTATTATTAAGTGAAAAGTGTCTGTGTGGCTCAGTAGGCCATAGTGGTCCAGTTATCGGAGTGTTGGAGCACTTCTCGCCAAGTCAGACAGTGTGAAATTGCAGAAAGGTGAATGCTAAGGTCTGACATTGAGTGCGTATTTATTGAGGGCAACGTGGCTTAACCAGACTCTCACTTCTTCTAAACTGTGTATTTTATAATATAAAACTTAACACCCTACACCAGTCTGGCTATTAGCAACAAGAAATCTCTGGCGTTGTCATTTAAAAACGCTTTATATTTTATTCACTACTGACTCTACTGTTTGCCACAGCTTATATAACAAACTTTGGGTTATCCCGAGTGTCCCGAACATAATTTCCTCTCCTTATTTGCACTGTTTGCTCAATCAGCATATCCCCATTAAAATAAATTGGATATCATGTCAATATTTGCCTTTATTCTACCTTGATTTATCTGCGTTGCCTTTGTATCAATGCTACCTTTGCACTATTGTTATTACGGCCGAGATTAGCTGATGCGGCACCACCAGCATGCTCTCCATGGGCAAGGAAAAGCATCAACCACCAACACTTGCCTACGAACAGCAAAAAAAAAACATACTGGTGGTGCTACAATTATGCACTGAATCAGCACAACAAACCTTGATAACACTTCCAACAAGATGAAGCATTTGCCCTCTAATTACAGCATCTTCTAATTGGGAGGAACACACGGACGTTGTCAAATAAGCTTGGAGGTATTAGGCTGATGAGAGTGCTAAAAATGTCAGAGGAAACCGGGCTCAACATCCTATTTCTGTCCATGAGTGCTCCATATTTTTATACAGATGTATTGCAGTGAAGAGGAAATGTGGCTGCTGCTGGATGGCCTGCATGGAGCCTGCACAGGAAGCAATAGACTGCACTCCTCGAGTCCCCACAGCAGGCTGTAATTGGCTTAAACATTCCACCAAGGATCACCCCTCTCTTCTAATTTGTGATGATAAAAATATATAAATTCAAAAACGTTTTTGGCTCTCTAAGTTGTATTCACAGGTATGCGCCAATACATGGTTTGTAGCTTGTAACAAATTAGATAAGATATAGACTTTATTGATCTCACACAGGAGAAATTTACAACACAGGAGACATTTACAGTATTCTGTTTATGTGTATACAGCATGTGGCCGAAGTTAATTCAAATGCTTGATTGACAGTCCTCGGCCTATTGGTCAACTAGTCCCCTCCAGCATACTGCCCAAGGTTATGCCAAGAGCAGGGCCTATTGGCACACCGGCAACATACGGGATCTGGCGTTCACATGATTTTCGTTTGAATATTGCTTCTTTCAGCTGAAACCACCGCTGTGGACAGGAGTTAGGTGGCGAGCTAGCTTCTATTGTCGTGATATATGAATTTATCAGGAACCTAGATGTTTGCCCGACCCGATACCAACACAAATATAAAAACAGTTACATGAATGTACTCATAATCTACTTAACCATCGTCCATGTAAAAATTAGTAACTTGGGAGACGTTTTAAACATGTTTTCTTTCACCTTTTGGAAAGGTGGGTGCGTTCTTGCTAACCCTTCGCCGGATCAAGCTAGTTCAAACTAGAACCCATGGATCTATTATATTTACGCTAGAACCACAGATCTATAAGGAGAACAATGGCTCAGTCAACCATGAAGTAGGCTCATTTTTGGTCCAAACATCTTGTAAGGACCGCAGCTGTAGAGATAATGCGGAGATAATGAAGGCATGTGTGTAGCCAAATAAAGAAGTGAATAATACGCTGTTCCAAATCCAAACAGCTTGTGCCTAGTAGTTGTTGCAGCTCATTATGAAAACGGGAAAACCCACATATTTGTGTGGAATCCGACTATAAACTTGAGAATCATATTGACAGTTTTCCATCTTGTGTGACTTAGTGTAAGTTTGCTCTTCCCTCACGCACTTTATTGTGTGAATCGCCTTCTTTATACAGCGGGTGTGCCACCTGCCGGCGCGTCACTGCGCTCCGGCCAATGGTGACGCACAGACGGATGCGCCCTTGGAGATCCCGCGGAGCCTCTCACTCTCACCCAGGCTCCTCTGTCTGCAGCTCTGGGGCTGAAGGTGGCGGACCTCGTGCCACACTCACTAAAGCCTTTCACGTCTGACAGAATGGACTTCCCAGCTGCTGTGCCAAACACGGACCCGTGACAAGTTGGAGTGGATTGCTCCGTTCTTTCCACTTGGAGACGGCTCCAGACCCACGCATCTACAAATGTCAAGGTAAGATTACACTTTCAAGTGTTTGTATCAATGCAATTAACTCTTTCCACGGGCGGATGTCCGCGCCCGTACTTTACGCACTTCATTTTACGCGTTTTGAACTTCATCCGTTCTTTTAAATTGTAATTGGACTTTGAGAATATAGGACGCTTCATGTTGTGACACATCCTCCCGACATTAGTCGAGTGTAGCTGGAGTGCCGTTGGGGTTTCCCTCAGCATCACCTTTGACAGCCGGCTCTTGTCTACTAAAGCCTTTCTCTGACTGCCGCTCTTACAGAAGCCTCTCTCTTACTGCTCCGCAGCGCGTCCTTCTGCTCCGTCAAGCCCGGATTGTATCTAAAGTTAATTAAAATCAACCCTCGACTTTCTCATCAGAAAGTTAATTTGATGAAAAAGCATTCCTCACACGGCCGTAGTCTGATCGCTCCCTGTCATTACATGAGTGATCAGATATTAAATGTTTGTTTTTAATCGTTGGAGACAAACTAAAGGAAATTAATAGTGACCTAACATGTCAGTGTCGTGTTATCATGAATGGAGAATCTTGGTTATTTGTGATGTGAAGGAATGTTCCCTCTCTCTGACCTGGAGGTGCTATGACATTGTACTGGATAATGAGTTAAAGCAGAGCAAATGGCATCTGTGCCATGGTGCAAATATTTTCGTTTGGTTGTGAGCAGTTATTCATCAGCCAAGTATTTTGTAAATACACAGCCTACAGTGTGCCAGTTCCTCTATTTCAGAAAATAGATCTCAAGTATTGCTCTTGATTTGATTGGATATTTCAACTATGGTTTTATCAATAAATCAACAGTGTGATTGTCTAAGTACAGAGGCAAATGAGAGCAGCGTCACAGTGAATGCTCAGTCTAAAAGGTGAGCAGGAGTGTGTTAAGATGATGATGACTTTCCATCTCTGTTTCTCACTGGGGCGGACATTCAGGCGACAAAGCAGACACAAGGTGAACAGCAGCCTACCCTTGAGTGTGATGCATTGTTTCAGCTGCAGTCAATATCACTTGAGTAATGTTGCTCTTCATGTTTTTCCCCATGTGATAGATGATTGTGTTGTGTGTGATGCTGCCCCCTTATTGATCATCGTTATGACTTTCCCAAAGAGGCCGTGGGTGGAGGGTGCTATGCTGCTGACCACTGCACAGATCAGATGTTAGAAGTTCAGTATAAATATGCCAGGGCTGCATTCAACTCACACATTCTTTGTCAACTACGCACATACAGCTATAGAAGGAAATAGGATTAAATAAATGATGATACAATCATATTTCACTATAATTTTAACAGACTCATTATTTCAACGGACTTGAGAACAAGTACTATTTATTACTAATTGCTTCACTTCATATAACTTCTAATTACACCAAATAACAATTAGTTTACTAATCTGGGTTTAAGCACCATTTTTAAACTAATTTTATAGTTGAAATAATTTACTTTCTTATTAGTAGTAGTGTTGTCCAGATGGCTGAGGTAAAAACAGCCACAGGCAATTTTTACTTTGGTTTTTCAGCCTTTTAGTTTTGTATGTGGGACAGATGTTTTGCGACCAAAAAGATGCATTGTGACATAAGATAAGATAGACTTTATTGATCTCACACTGGAGACATTTACAACTTATACATTAATAACTTAGCGTTTCTCAAAAATGTACACACTTAAGAGATTTATACATTTTGAGGCACATTTAATTTCCTGGCTACCAATCTGGTTGAGTTGGGGAATAAATCCATTAATAATTTCTCTACAAACAAACAGCTGTTAAAAGAAAACATGGAAGCCCGGAGTAATTGAAAGCGAGTTGTTTTACGAGCGTAGCCTCTGGGCAGGAAGCGCGCAGGGGCAGGCTCCACAGGCTACTTTTAGTGCCGCAAAAGGACACATGGATAGGTATTTTACAGGAGTCAGCTGGCCAAACAGACAGACTAACTCCCCCATTGGGTTTCATTAAAGATGGTCTTGATGTCTAAAGCCAGTTTAATCCACTTTCACAGCCATGCAGACCACATGAGAGGTAAGCAGCCCCCATCTATCTTTAGCCAACCATGTGGGCTAAAACTTTTCCGTTCACGTTCAATGATTAAAACAACAACACCAATTCCCCCGTAGCTCATGTTAACGGCTCTTCCCATGCAGGGTTTCGATTGTGTGCCGGTAATGCAGACATCAGATAGAGCCATGTCAACGACTGTCCGGAGAATTAGGCTCTCCACAGTACCCTCATATTTCAGATTGAATTTGATTCAAGCCCACGGCCTTAAGTGCGATTACTGTAAAGTCTTTTGAGGTGAGTGCCTTAGCTGCTTGTCATTGTCTCCACTTTTGCTGTTATCGTCGTCCCTCATTTTGTAGCATCTGCTTAACTTCACTGACAGTGTCCGGGAAAGACATTCACAAACCTCCCTGGCCTCATAAACAGCCTGGATACATTCAGAACATTTTTAATGCTGTTGCCATTCAGGCAGAAAATGCATGAAAAGCAATGGAAATGATTCATTATAGCTTTTAGGTAGATCACTTTTCCATTTGCTACATTTTGCTGTGCATGTGTTTACCTACCCTTTTTGCGTGGACTTATTGAGGAAATCATAGCCATAGCCTGTGAAGTCTTATTTTTTCAGTATAAAAATAACTTCAATTGAGTTCAGTTAGAATTCTAACTTGTAGTACATATTTCTTTTCTCGCATTAATAAAATATTAATTGCAAAAATGCTATTTATATACTATACACACTTGAATTTAGTAGTTTCTTTGTTTCCTGGAAAATTGTGGACATTTTGACAGTTTTGGCTTTTTCCATTTCAAAGCCAAAGACACATTTTCAAAATACACTCAAATCAAGAAAAATACTAATAAACAGTTTCAATTTTGTTGCTATTTGGATAAATGGCATGAAAAGTAACAGAAATGATTTAGTGAATGATTAGTGCCTTTGAGCAAATCACTTGTGCCTTTGTCACATGCCCTGTGTTTACCTGTGTGCCGTTTCCATGTCCTGAGGAGACAATCAAGTGGGTTTTACAGCCAACATGTGCGTACAACCGAAAACCATCCATCACTGACCTTTAGTTGTCAGTCTTAGCTGGGAGCTGTGTCTTATTGGTGGCAATAAGGTTTTCAGCACTGCTCCAGTGTGTTTGCCTTCGGATATTGTGTATGTCCAGCCTACAGCGTCGCAGACACTGACCCTTGCAGGAATCAAGATAATGCGGCTAAGTGAGTTGGTTCAAAGGTTATATAATGGGCAGAGAAGTGAGGTTAACTGCAAAGCTGTTTTAGTAGCCTGCCAACTATTCCAGCTTTACCGGCGTAAATACACTATCTACATATTGCTTGTTCTGCTTTTCTGTCACCTCCTTGTGCCAATGCGAATTCAGAAATACGCTTTTCTGAAATGGTAATCAATCCTTTTGTGGTTGTACATTATCAATGGGTTTGTATTTGTTTTGAAGTGGCTCTAGATTCATAGCTTGTATGACCGCTTTTAAGTTGGAGTTGTGCCTGTCCTTAGAAGGTAAATCAATAACAAGGTGTCCGGTCATCCTCGCTGGGCGTCCTCTGGGAGGGTTTCAAGGTAAAAGAGAGCGATGCTGCCCAGGGAGTGTAAAAGACTGTGAAAGTGATAGTGTGGCTTTGAAATATATCATATATCAAGCCTGTCGTTAACCAAGAAAGGATTATTACTAGAAAAGGAGTTTCTCAAAACAATGTAGTATCTATCTTCAGACCCAAAGATTTAACACACACTGCCAACATCTTCAGCTAATCTGCCTGTGATTTGCTGTTTTCCCATAGGAAGTCTTGTAATTTAGATTAGTTGATTATTTTTTGGTTGACTGAGAAACCATCGACCGATTAATCTACTAACCAACTAAAGCTAGACAGCCCTAATATTCTCTCTTCATGTCAAATTTTTACCACAGCTGATCTAAAAGTGAATCTTTATTATTTTAGTTGTGCAGAACTTAACTTCTTGCACTTGTTTGTATATTGTGAGCCATTCCAATCTTCCGTGTGGACTTCCATCTCCTTTGCTCCCCAATCCAACAGCATAGGATCTATGTTGCCTGGTGGGGTCTGCCATGGTCAATAAGTTCCGATGTGACGGATCAGACAAAGAGTAGTTTGAACGCTGTGGATTGTGATGTCGTCCTGGTCCTCTGTAGATCCAACTTCTTCTGGGCTCACCTCCTGCAGAGGGTGACATAAGGTCAAGTGCAGAGAGGACAGGGCTACGTTTAAAATTCTGTTGCCTCCATGAACTCGCTTCAAATAAAGCGGGAAAAAATGGATGAATCTGAGCAAATGTTATAACTTGCCACCCCATACATTATTAGTCATTGTATGAATTGTCACATACAGTATTGATTCAGTAAATAATACTTGGGAATTGAAACACGTGATGCATTGATCACTCATGCTCCTACATTAGTCCTGATCATGCCAATTACTTGTTTCTTTTCAGTCATCTTAGTCGCTAAAGTTGGCTGAACAGTAGCAATTTCATATTTTTCTTTTGCACTCCCAGACTCCCCAAACACATTTTTATCATATCCTTCTTGTTGCACCACTTCCAGGTGCTTTCACTTAGCCTGTCCGATTACACCTAAGCCTTGCGTAAAACGACTGGAGGAGGGCTCTCTGTCTTAAACCTATGTAAACTACGCTGCATTACAACATATTGAAACTATGCATTCAGGAAACACAGCCTGTTCTGTCGTGAGAACAAGCACCTGGTCTCTACATCATTGCATTGTAAAAAGTCATCTCCGATATGACGGTAACAATTTGCCTTTAGAAATGGATTGTGTGTGTCATATATTGTGTCTGCAGGCGATCAGATTGGAGCCTAAATCACATTGCCTCTCGCTGTGCTACTGTATGCATTTTCATAATGACATGGAGGGGATGACGATGACGCTCATAGATCGGCACAATACTGCCAAGGTGATACGCCGCATGCTTTGAATACTGTAATGATA